AAAGGATTTCAGTGCTTGTGTTTATACTTGACATTCATGAATGTTATGGTAAAACACAAGTCATGCTTGATTTTCTCTGCAATCAATATATTATTGACAAAGTTATGCTTTTTTATATGCAAGCAAGTAAGTTCACTTATTTTCTATTGCTAGAATATGCTATTACCACAAAAAAAGTTTATATTGCTTAAAAAATTATACTGTATAATTTTCCTTTCACATTCATCATAATTTGTGCTAATTTACAGAGGTAAATTTGCTATCGATATTTTTGTCTGTGATACCTTCTTTTTAATTTGCCATTTGCATACATGTTTGTTGCCCCACCTCAACGGAGATCTTGCTGTTAATGAAACTGCAACATGTTTATTTGATAACTAATTTATTAGGGCTGTAGACAATATTATATGATTGGTAAATGTAACTTTTTAATAAGTTTTTAATAAGTTGATAATTTGATTATCAATTATGTCAAGTAAGAGCTGTTAAAATGTTAGTCTGATAATTAATTGTTACAGTGAATTTTAAGCAGAGTTGTTCCCCCTGATTTAGATACAATTTTTTAAGCCATATAAATCTTGCCAATTTAATAGATATTCAGCTTAATGTAACTTAGTGTTTATATTCACAAATAATAACTTAAAACAAATGCACCTAGCAATAAACAATCCAGAGAGAGTTATTGCCCTTTGTTTTTGGATAATCCACAAAATTTATGAATGAAACAGGTCACACCCAGTTGAGAAAAGTGATAAATAGTGAAATTTTAATACTCAACTTCATTGTTCAATCAGCATGGCAAAAAGATGGTTGGGTTTGTGGCTGATTTTGTTTGATTTAATGTGTTCCCAAGTTGTTTCAGAAATGTTTAATGTGTGCTTTTGTTCATGTCCGTTAAGTTGTTATGCCAAGCATAATGCAACAGGGGCTTAATTAGTTCTGGCAAATGAAGAAATTAAATTATTAATACATATTGCCCATGAAAGCAGAATGAAAGTTAGTTTTAATTTATATTTATATCCACATTTAAATTTGTTCAAAATGATCATGCATTGTAATGCCATATACTAAAAAATAGCAGAATTTAATATCCGTTCTTATAAAAAATACTAATTAAAAAAAATAGTCAGGGGCAAGCTAAACTTTACATTCTTTGCTTAGTGCTGGTTGATTCCATTAAACGAATTTGAAAGTGTTTTTTATAATTAATAAGCTTATAACATCCAACACTATCAAACTTAAAAAAATTGTATAAACTTAAAACTTAAAAAATAACAAATATCCATTGTTATATATGTGGTTCTTTGTTTATCCTTTCTACTTATATAAAAGTACTTTTTTTTTTGTATTTAAGCATCTATCTAGATACATAAGTCTTATTAATCACTATTTAACATGGAATGCTCTAGAAAGCTCTCAACTCTCCTTCTTCATGATTTGAAGCCTGACATATCTATTTGCATTTATCTTGTCAACATAGTCTTGAATGTTTTTCCTTTTTTTAAAAAAATTCCATTACGAAATACTATGAAAAATCTCCTACATTTGAAAATTTCTCCGTTCAAGAATGTACTAGAAAAAAAAAATGACGCGTTTTCGAGTATATATAAAGGTTGACCAGAATCGTCTCATCACTTGCAACATTGTCTTAAACGATAAAGGTTGCTTGAATCATACATACTATTTTGAAGAGTTACTTTGTAACGGCATTTAAGATCGCAGGACCAATGAATTGTTTTGCAACAACTTTGAAGAGATTGTCGAGAAAAACGAAAAGTACCGGCTTAGGTTTGCTTTTTACTATTATAATAAAATTTTATAAAGTACTTTGTGTTTTTGTTTGTTTGTTTGTTTTTTTTGCTTTTTTTTTCATTTCGATGAAAATTAGGGGTGTACTATGCTATTGAACCAGATTCAGAATGATAGATGTTCTATTAAATAATTGTTTCAGTTCACAACAATTTTAATAGGGGATAATATCAACAATGTTGTAAGAAATTAAGTTTGACTCTTTTTAAAGATCATGCTTCAAATGAGTAACTAAAATATATCAGTGAGTTAGATATAAGTTTTATCGCACTGTTTGAAGTTAAAATATAGAATTTTGGTTGCCATTCTATAATGTATTGTAAAATATAGTATAATATAATGAACAAGAAGTAAAGATTTTCATAATGTTGGCATAATTTCATGTACATTTAGTTCATTTGGCTCCCTTTTTGGTGACTGGCTAATAGGGTATCAAATATAAAATAAAAAGATCTAATAAATATTTGTTTGTTTATCGTTGAAATTGAACATTTCTTCGGAGTGGTAATCTTCGTATAACTATTTGCATTCCTCTTTTTGAAATATTCAAAACTCCAATTCTCAGTGAGGTATATTCCATATTCACCATGGGGAACTTACTATCCTTTATATATACTTAACTTAGTCTTGCAGAAATAACTAAATCATAGAAAGTTCAATCACTCTCTATCGTAAAACCTATAGCTTTTGGAAAATGTCACAAAATGACATTTTGGACATTACCTACTTGACTGTATATGGGAACATTTTGAAACTGCTTAACATAGATTTGTCATCAGATTTCTGCTGTAAGTTTGTTCAGAATTTATTTTAGTTAAGCTATAAGCTTATACATTCTGTAATCTTTTTTTCTTGGAACCAACTAGTACTATTGCAATGAGTGTAAGGTTTCTTGGTTAAGGAAACAACAGCTTGCATCTGACAGTAATTTTCTTTGGCTAATTTAGTCACACTCATTTTCTTTGGCTGAATTTAGTCACACTAATTTTCTTTGGCTTAAAGTCACACAAATTTTCATTGGCTTACAGTCATAGTAATTTTCTGTGGTTAATAGTCACACTATAATTTTCTTTGGCTGAAAGTTACACTAATTTTCTTTGGCCTAAAGTGACTTTTATTTTCTTTGGCTGAAAGTCATAAATTATTTTTCATACCCATCAAATGGTGTTTCATGATGTAACAGTTAATAAAGCATTCATTTAGTAAGTATTCCTGTAGGAGATTCCTTCTACAATAGCAGATATATAATAGTTTGTGACAGCATGAAGTGTGGAATTGAGGAATGTTGCTAATAAAATATTCAACAGTTAATAAATAAGGTAATAACGTCAAGGGCATGTCATATTTCATTATCACTTGTTTAGCAGGTTGATCTGTCTCACAGTTTACCAATATACTAATATACTATAAACTAATATACTGTAGACTAATATACTATTGACACCAGGGTATGACGAAACTATTTGTTGACATTATGACATCATCTATGCTATTATGATAGTAGAAATATCTGGAAAAAAGTGATACCTCTAAAGCATTAAAAACAGCAAAATTACATGAAAATTGCAAACTCGGTTTGATTGAGTCTGTACATGAGGGATAATGAAAAAATGCGACATATTTATAAAAAAAGACATGTTTCCTTTAATTGTTTTGATTTTAATTAAGCTCTTATAAATACATGTATATTTGTGTATATGTAAATAATTTATCTTTAATGGATGTGATACTAATCATAATGAAGGCTCGGCTAATTGGATTGGGGAATTATCGAAAGGGGGCAGGGGGACGGTGGGTAATATACATGTACATTCCTGAAACGAACACTGGCTGACAAACTTTAAGTCTTGTTTACATGACATTGATGTCAAACTTGTTGATTTGGATTTGCCCTGTTTTGAATTTGGGACAGTCCATTTAAAATTTTAAGGGATTTCAATATCAGAATACAAAATATGAGCTACCAATAGTATTATAAGGGCAGCATATTAAGTTAGACTGCACAAATGTGCAGACTTGCCTGGCTCGACTGTCACCTTTGGGTTCCTGGCAGCAGGTTATTATGAGGTTTAATAAGATGATATCAAACACTTCATAATTAATAACTATCATCACTTCAAAAATTTCAAAGTCAAATCCATGATATATTTATAATTAAGCATGGTTGAATATTACATGAGGAAATTATTAAGTGAAATTCTTGTGAATGATACACTTAAAGAATACTTGCTATTGTAATAAAACTTATACAACATATTTTATTTATTCTTAATGCTATAATGCCTCCATTTCTGAGAAAAATCTTGAATTGCTAAAACTGAAGCAGAAGTGATTTTATCACTTAAATGAAAATTAAGGCTTTAAAAATCTGGAAAATGGGTGATCCCTCTGAAGCATCAAAATATATGTAAAAATGTAGAATATAGCATAAATAAAATATAAACGAAACAACCCAGCATCTTATATTACAGGCTGAAATCATTAAATCCAAAAGGAAAAATACTGGCCTAATTACATTGACGAAGAGTCTGAACTATAAACTGCCTTCCTTATTGACCTATATTAGTCTAGCCTTCTCGATTTGCATGTTGTTTGTAGAGTATTATAGACCTGAATATTATCCTAACTTAAGGGAGGTATTGTTTATTATCTATATCAGAAAACTGTTATATTGCATGATAATCTTTTAACCATTAATCTTGCTGGAATTGATAGTGATAACCTTTTGCCACCAGTATTACAGCCAGGCCAGCCTGCATATCTGTGCAGTCTGACCAGGCTCTATACATTTAAAAAGTTCAATTTTTATTAATTTTAGATATTGATATCCCTTAAACTTTAAATGGACTACTCTAAAATCAAAGCAGGGCAAATCCATTACATAAATTCAGCAGGTTAAGGGTTAGCCATAAAAAGCTGATACAGTATTGGTATATTTTCTATGCGACAGTGTTTTCCACTAACGCGTTGCATAAATTTCCTATTGGAAACCTCGAAATCTGTTAAAATCTTGCAGACAGTGTAATATTGGTTCCCGTTGCTTGCCTCTCTCTCTAACAAGTTCCTTGAAGGATTCCGTTGTCCTTCTAGAGATGTCGTCAACGTGGAATTGCCTCGGCAAAATCAATAACATAACATTGAGTGAAGCTAGATACTAGTTGGAGCTTAATAGGTTCCTCTGTCTTCTAATATTGATGTTTTACTCATTTGTTATAATTATTTTGTTGGGATGAAAGTGTGATAGAATAATGCAGACCTATATGCTGGCAAACAGTTGATATGGTGTGGATATATGTGCCGTATAAGGCCAGAAGTCGCAAAGTCATGGGTTTTTAAGTTGTGACAAAACAAGTGCAGACTATTGGGATAATATTCTTGAAGGTCAAACAAGAGTTGGTTGAGTGACGTCTGCTTGAAGATATGTTGTCTGTATGACAATTATGTAAATCTTATTTGGGATTATTTGTGAATGTTCTTCGGGGATTTCATGAGCAAAATAAGCTGATTTATATGTGAATGTAATTCCTTATTCTGAATGCCATCTGCTGTGGATAATTAATATTTTTAGTTTTTCTGAAAATTTGTAACAAAAAAAGAAAGAAAAATGACCTGTGGTGGAACTAGTGATATAGTGTTGTTGAAGGCTGTAGTGTTTGATTTCACACGGCAGCACTATTGCTAGTGAAACTATCCAGTCGGCGGTGGTACCAACATCTTCTCCACGGGGGTCTCCACGAGCAGTGATTCCTGTGCGAGCCCGGGTACGCAGTAGCTCGTCTGCAGGTGCCACCGCCCAATCTTCTTCCCCCCGCATAAGAAAAATGTGCAGCGATACAGGTGAAGGTTATTTTGCATTAGCATTTGATCGTATTTTGAATGTTATATTCATGTTGTGTGTTAACTTTTCTTACAGGTTATAAATTCATTTTCAGAGTTTAAGAAATTCATCGTTTGGAAAATATTTTTTTGCTGATAATACATTTTAATATTTATTTCGATAGTTTGTCAATACCTAATGGCTTAATATATTAATTTTTAATATCACAATGTACTAAATATTTTAGTATTTGCATACTTTAAATTAATGATGATATTTGTTGAAAATCATCAGTTAAAAGTTATGTCCCATTGGTGAAGGGACACCCATTTTATGTTAAATTTTCATGTTATATTCACTTTTAATTTGAATTAATTAAGATAAAATCTTATAATTGTACTCACGGTACTTTCTGTTTGATTTATTGGTCTGTTTCATCAAAAGGAAGATGTACATGAAAATTTATTATACTGTTAATATTATAAAACTGTTAAAACATTTACATCTCAATAATGGTCCAATCTGGATTTATTTTCCCGCAAAGGTGCTAAGCACCCCCAAGTTGGTGTGACCATAAAAGTGTCCACTTTGCCTTTTTGGACATGTGACCATTAAATCTGGGTCTTATAAATAAATATAATAGATATATCAAAATGTAATTTTGCAAATACATTTGTAGATATAAAATTAAGCTTTTCTTCTGTTTTGAATATACTTAGTATTTGTATTGAGTCAGTTCATGTAATGGTTCCTTTAATAATTAAAATTCTTGGTCAGATTATGAAAATATAGTTATGAATATTGATTTATTAATTATTTTCATCACCATCATAAACTTGATTAACTTATCAATAATGACAAAATCATCATCATCACCATCATCACTGTCATCATCATCATCATAAACGTCATCATCACCAAGTATTAGTGTTCGATCTTGTGAATGATTGATATATTGACTGTAGAAGAAAGGTTGCATTTTAGGTATGTATACCAATCCAGACTTTGGAAAGTAGGTAGAACTACCTTTACACTGTTATATATATAATATTTTACAGTAGATTTAAGTAAATTCCTCAAAGACTAAGGGAGAATCATATGGGTATTCTGTGCCATTGTTTAATCATGTAGATTATCATGCAAATATTTACACAGTGAGTTTATCATGTAAATCTTAAACAGTGGGTTTATTGTGTAAATCTTTTACACTGTCAGTTTGTCATGTAAATCTTTACACAGTGAGTTTATCTTGTAAATCTTTGTGTTACACAGACAGTTTATTATCTAAATGTTTACACAGACATTTTGTCTTGAAATCTTTACACTGTCAGTTTATCATGTAAATATTTACACTGCCAGTTAATCATGTAAATCTTTACATAGTAAGTTTATCATGTAAATCTTTACACAGTGAGTTTATCATGTTAATCTTTACACAGTGAATTTATCATGTAAATCTTTACACTGTGAGTGTATCATGTAAATCTTACACAGTGAGTTTATCATGTAAATTTTTTACACAGTGAGTTTATCATGTAATCCTTTACACAGTGAGTTTATCATGTAAATCTTACACAGTGAGTTTATCATGTAAGTCTTACACAGTGAGTTTATCATGTAAATCTTTTCACAGACAGTTTATCATCTAAATGTTTAAACAGACAGGTTATCATGTAAATGTTTACACTGAGAGTTTATCATATAAATCATTAAAAGTTTATTAATAATTGTAAAATTCATTACATGTACAGTAAATCATGTAGACAGTTTATTATGTAAATCATTTCATTGTCAGTCATAACAGTCATTACACATACAGTTTATATTTACACAGACAGTTTATCAATTAAATCATACACAGACAGTTTATCAATTAAATCATACACAGACAGTTTATCAATTAAATTATACACATACAGTTTATCAATTAAATTATACACATACAGTTTATCAGCAGTTAAATCACACAGAGACAGTTTATCAATAAAATTTTACAAATAGAGTTTATCAATTAGATAATACAAATAGAGTTTATCAATTAAATTATAAACTTAAATTATACACAGACAGGTTATGAATGAAATTTTACATCGACAGTTTATCAGTATTAAAGTATAAACTTTATCAGTTTTCTTGCATATCAGACAGTATTATCTCCGGTTAACACCGGTGCTTGAAAACCCTGTCTTACATCCCCCATGAGCTTTAAATGAAGTCATTGATGCACGTCTTTTATGAATGAATTGCGTTCTAGTGCTTACTCTAGTGCTTACGTCATTTTACTGTATAAATGAAGTTTGTAAGTCCATACGCTACTATAAGAAAAAAGTGCGCAATGAAAATATCAGTTTTCGTAATTTCTGTTTCAAAAATAAATGACATTTAATATGGAAGAAAAAGAATCAAACACTGGCTGACCATAATATCTAGCTCAGGGTAACTGTTTACAGCGGTAACAATTAAGACTCTGTCGAGTTTCCGCTAAACAGTTACCCGTGAGCTAGATAATCCCATCTTTACCGGCAGCCGGTGTAAGATTCTTATAAAATTATACACATACAGTTTATCAGTTAAATTATATACAGACAGTTTATCAGTTAAATTATATACAGACAGTTTATCGATTAAATTATATACATACAGTTTATCAGTTTAATTATATACATACAGTTTATCAGTTAAATTATATACAGACAGTTAATCAGTTTAATTATATACATACAGTTTATCAGTTAAATTGTACACTGACAGTTTATCAGTTAAATTATACACAAACAGTTTATCAATTAAATTATACACAGAGTTTATCATGTAAATCATACACAGGCTGTTATACTGTTGCATGGTGGCTCATATTTTTGTGCATCAAATATTCCAAATTCAAAACTGAGCAAATGCATTGCAGAAATTCAGCAAGTTAAGGCAAGTTAAGGCAGGTTTTATGAAGTTATGCCTGATTAACAGATCTCTGTCAGATATGACCATCTGTCAACATCTGTTATTTATGAATGAATGTTTCATCAACAGATTATCAGACTGTGCTTGTTGTGCTGTTAATCTGTTATCTGTAATTGTTTACAAACTTATATCTGATTATTTCTCGGGGATAAATATATTGTTATTTAAATGTATTTTTTTTCTTCTCTTTGTTTGTAACACAGATCATTGGCCTATTGTCTATTATTGTTGTATATTTCTCTGTATGTATTGTATTTGATATATGGAGAAAGTATATACAAAGAAAAAAAGGAAGCAAAATATACAAATCTAAAGTTTTCTCTGTGGTGTGCATTGAGTTAAAACTTCTCTTCAGTCGTAATATTCTAACGTTTACTACATGTTTTCTTAATTAAGCAGTTTACTTCTCATTTGAAGCCAAGAATTATTATAGGTAAAAGCTACCTTTTATCAAATTTATTGGTTACATTTACTAAGTATTGATTGAAATTAGTAGTCTGTGCCAAAAGCTGTTTGTTTTATTGGAAAGCATCGCTTTTTTTCCCTGACAAAATCAATACCAGTAATATTTTAATGTAAGATATTTTCAAAATGGGTTCAATAAAAATTCAAGGCAGCTATGATAATGCAATTTGGTTAGGGTAATAGAGATATTTCATAATATTGTTAATGGAAAATGCAAACTCGGCAAAAATTTTGTAAACATTGTGCTTTGATTTATAAATGATATTTATAATACATGTAGTTACAGTGAAAAAAAAAGAAATATTATAGGAGAGTTAAAATTGACCTGATTTGTGGCATGCTGTATTTTCATGTAATGGGCATGTCCTTCTTTGTATTTGGAAGTTGGAACTGTTTATTGTTAATGGGAGGGGTTTTGACGAATTCTAAAATTTAAAGGCACATTGTGCCTCAGAAATAAATATTTGAGCCGCATCACGACAAAACCAACATAGTGCGTTTGCGACCAGCATGGATCCAGACCAGCCTGCGCATCTGCACAGTCTGATCAGGACCATGCTGTTCGCTTACAAACCCTATTACAAGTAGAGAAACTGATAGCGAACAGCATGGATCCTGATCAGACTGCGCGGATGCGCAGGCTGGTCTGGATACATGCTGGTCGCAAACGCATTACGTTGGTTTTGTCGTGACGCGGTTCATTTTTTTCTTCTTCAATCAATAAGGTCAAACACGTGTTTTATAATATTGTAGAAATGGATATAAAGCAAATAAGGTGCTTATCATAGGAAGTAAGGATTGTTGAAAGTAAAATAGAACTAAATGGAATTTTAAGTTCCATACAAAATACTAAATTACTGTCTTAATTGTACTAATTAAAAGAATCTGAAGATGTGATCTGATGTGTTGGTGCATTCAAAAACCAGACAAAAGAACAAAAGAATAATGTTTTCAGTTGTGCTATTTTTTCCCTCTTGTATAGAGCAATAGATCTTTCTTTTTTGTTTGTTTATTTGCATAATTTTATTTAGTGCTAGGATAGGGGTCCGATCCTCAACACTGATGACTTCGGCAGAGTAGTTTTATGATTGCTAGTTTAGATGGTTGCCGTCTCCAAATCACTTGCTCCTCACTACTAAGAGTTCAAAAAATTCAGCTGTGCCAGGAGTTTGGAATTTTCCATATGTGAGGCATTTTGAAGCTATTCTGCCGGCTAACAGAAGTTTTACTCAAGTGCCTGAAATGGGCATCAGTCCTGAGGTCTTTCTCTACTAGTAATGCTGCAAAGTCATCATTACGATGGTTTATAACTGTGGTTGTCGACTTTAACCATATCAAAATAAATATATCCTGTCCCATGTCTTGCTACAAACATTCATTTAATTTAAAAGATGTATATACAGTTATATATAATACCTAAACTTCAGTGTCATCTTGACCCTGTGTCTCTTACAATAATTTTGAGACACATGCTTATGTATTTTTTTTCTCCTCATTTACCCCTGGCCTTTAAAGTGTTATGCCAGTGATTTCTTATACAACAGAAATAAATGTATATATGGCAGTGAAAGAAATAGCAACAGGCAATCACTATGGC